GGGGCACTGGGAGGGCACTGGGAGGGCACTGGGAGGGATGATTGCAATGGGGGGGCTCTGCGTTGAGAGGGGGTTGTGGGGGCAGGTTTGGGGGGCACCGAGGGGTCTGTGCACCCATACTGGGAGTATCCCCACCCCGAGACCCCCGTGGGTGCCCCCTGACCCCCGTGGGTGCCCCCAGGAGTGTCTGACCCTGACAGCCAAGCGATTACCATGGGGGTCCCTACATTGAGAGGGGGCTGTGGGGGCAGGTTTGGGGGGCACTGGGGGGTCTGTGCCCCCCATATTTGGGGTCCCACCACCCCCTGACCCCCAGGGGTGCCCCCAGACCCCCGTGGGTGCCCCCAGGAGTGTCTGACCCTGACAGCCAAGTAATCACTGTGGGGGTCCATGTACTGGGGGCACACTGAGAGGGGGCTGTGGGGGCAGGTTTGGGGGGCACCGGGGGGGTCTGTACCCCCCATATTTTGGGTCCCCCCGCCCCCTGACCCCCGTGGGTGCCCCCAGGAGTGTCTGACCCTGATTGCCAAGTGATTACCGTGGGGGTCCCTACACTGAGAGGGGGCTGTGGGGGCAGGTTTGGGGGGCACTGGGGGGTCTGTGCCCCCCATCACGGGGGTGCCTCCTTCCCCAGACCCCCGTGGGTGCCCCCTGACCCCCGTGGGTGCCCCCAGGTGTGCCTGACGCTGGTGGCCAAGCCCATGCCATGGGTGGCCCTACATTGAGAGGGGGCTGTGGGGGCAGGTTTGGGGGGCACCGGGGGGTCTGTGCCCCCCATATTGGGGGTCCCCCCGCCCCCTGACCCCCGTGGGTGCCCCCGGGTCCTCTTGGGTGCCCCCAGGAGTGTCTGACCCTCACAGCCAAGTAATCACTGTGGGGGTCCATGTACTGGGGGCACACTGAGAGGGGGCTGTGGGGGCAGGTTTGGGGGGCACTGAGGGGTCTGTGCCCCCCATACTGGGGGTCCCTCCACCCCCTGACCCCCGTGGGTGCCCCCAGGAGTGTCTGACCCTCACAGCCAAGCGATTACTGTGGGGGTCCATGTACTGGGGGCACACTGAGAGGGGGCTGTGGGGGCAGGTTTGGGGGGCACCGAGGGGTCTGTGACCCCCATTATTTGGGGACCCCCCGCCCCCTGACCCCCGTGGGTGCCCCCAGGTGTGCCTGACCCTCACAGCCAAGCGCATGGCGAGGAAGAACTGCCTGGTGAAGAACCTGGAGGCCGTGGAGACGCTGGGCTCCACCTCGACCATCTGCTCGGACAAGACGGGCACGCTGACCCAGAACCGCATGACGGTGGCACACATGTGGTTCGACAACCAGATCCACGAGGCCGACACCACCGAGGACCAGTCGGGTGCGTGGGGGCACCCCCCGAGCTTGGGGAACCCCGGAACCCGTGGGAACCTGATCCTGGGGGAGGCTGATCCTGTGGGACCCTGATCCTGGGGGAGTCTGATCCTGGGGGAGTCTGATCCTGGGGGAGTCTGATCCCGTGGGACCCCAACACCCCCGAGCTTGGGGCACCCCGCAACCCGTGGGAACCTGATCCTGGGGGAGGCTGATCCTGGGGGAGTCTGATCCCGTGGGACCCCAACACCCCCGAGCCTCGGGCACCCCGGAACCCATGGGAACCCGATCCTGGGGGAGTCTGATCCTGGGGGACCCTGATCCTGGGGGAGTCTGATCCTGGGGGACTCTGATCCTGTGGGAGTCTGATCCTGGGGGACTCTGATCCCGTGGGAACCCCGATCCTGGGGGAGTCTGATCCTGTGGGACTCTGATCCCGTGGGAACCCCGATCCTGGGGGAGTCTGATCCTGTGGGACCCCGATCCTGTGGGAGTCTGATCCTGTGGGACCCTGATCCTGGGGGAGTCTGATCCTGGGGGACCCTGATCCTGGGGAGTCTGATCCTGGGGGAGTCTGATCCTGTGGGAGCCCGATCCTGTGGGACCCTGATCCTGGGGGAGTCTGATCCCATGGGACCCTGATCCTGTGGGACCCCGACCCTGGGGGACTCTGATCCTGTGGGACCCTGATCCTGGGGGAGGCTGATCCTGGGGGACCCTGATCCTGGGGGAGTCTGATCCTGAGGAGTCTGATCCTGTGAGACCCTGATCCTGTGGGAGTCTGATCCCGTGGGACCCTGATCCTGTGGGACCCTGATCCTGTGGGACCCCAACCCTGGGGGAGTCTGATCCCATGGGACCCTGATCCTGGGGGAGTCTGATCCCATGGGACCCTGATCCTGGGGGAGTCTGATCCTGTGGGAACCCCGATCCTGGGGGAGTCTGATCTCATGGAACCCCGATCCTGGGGAGTCTGATCCTGGGGGACCCTGATCCTGGGGAGTCTGATCCCATGGGACCTTGACCCTGGGGGACTCTGATCCTGGGGGAGTCTGATCCCATGGGACCCCGATCCTGGGGGAGTCTGATCCTGTGGGACCCCAACCCTGTGGGACCCTGACCCTGGGGGAGTCTGATCCCGTGGGACCCTGATCCTGGGGGACCCCAACCCTGGGGGAGTCTGATCCCGTGGGACCCCGACCCTGGGGGAATCTGATCCCGTGGGACCCTGATCCTGTGGGACCCCAACCCTGGGGGAGTCTGATCCTGTGGGACCCTGATCCTGGGGGANCCAGACCCCCGTGGGTGCCCCCTGACCCCCGTGGGTGCCCCCAGGAGTGTCCGACCCTGACAGCCAAGCAATTACCATGGGGGTCCCTACATTGAGAGGGGGCTGTGGGGGCAGGTTTGGGGGGCACTGGGGGGTCTGTGCCCCCCATATTTGGGGTCCCCCCGCCCCCAGACACCCGTGGGTGCCCCCAGACCCCCGTGGGTGCCCCCAGGAGTGTCCGACCCTGACAGCCAAGCAATTACCATGGGGGGCCCTACATTGAGAGGGGGCTGTGGGGGCAGGTTTGGGGGGCACTGGGGGGTCTGTGCCCCCCATCACGGGGGTCCCCTCACCCCAAGACCCCCGTGGGTGCCCCCAGACCCCCGTGGGTGCCCCCAGGTGTGCCTGACCCTGAGAGCCAAGTTATTACCATGGGGGTCCATGTACTGGGGGCACACTGACAGGGGGCTGTGGGGGCAGGTTTGGGGGGCACTGAGGGGTCTGTTCACCCATATTTGGGGTCCCCCCGCCCCCTGACCCCCGTGGGTGCCCCCAGACACCCGTGGGTGCCCCCTGACCCCCGTGGGTGCCCCCAGGAGTGTCTGACCCTCACAGCCAAGCGATTACCGTGGGGGTCCCTACATAAAGAGGGGGCTGTGGGGGCAGGTTTGGGGGGCACTGAGGGGTCTGTGCCCCCCATATTTGGGGTCCCCCTGCCCCCTGACCCCCGTGGGTGCCCCCAGGTCCTCTTGGGTGCCCCCAGGAGTGTCTGACCCTGAGAGCCAAGTGATTACCATGGGGGTCCATGTACTGGGGGCACACTGAGAGGGGGCTGTGGGGGCAGGTTTGGGGGGCACTGAGGGGTCTGTGCCCCCCATATTGGGGGTCCCCCCGCCCCCTGACCCCCGTGGGTGCCCCCAGGTCCTCTTGGGTGCCCCCAGGAGTGTCTGACCCTGAGAGCCAAGCGATTACCGTGGGGGTCCATGTACTGGGGGCACACTGAGAGGGGGCTGTGGGGGCAGGTTTGGGGGGCACCGAGGGGTCTGTGCCCCCCATATTTGGGGTCCCCCTGCCCCCAGACCCCCGTGGGTGCCCCCTGACCCCCATGGGTGCCCCCAGGAGTGCCTGACCCTGAGAGTCAAGTAATCACTGTGAGGGTCCATGTACTGGGGGCACACTGAGAGGGGGCTGTGGGGGCAGGTTTGGGGGGCACTGGGGGGTCTGTGGCCCCCGTATTGGGGGTCCCCCCGCCCCCTGACCCCCGTGGGTGCCCCCAGGTGTGCCTGACCCTGACGGCCAAGCGCATGGCGAGGAAGAACTGCCTGGTGAAGAACCTGGAGGCCGTGGAGACCCTCGGCTCCACCTCGACCATCTGCTCGGACAAGACGGGCACGCTGACCCAGAACCGCATGACGGTGGCACACATGTGGTTCGACAACCAGATCCACGAGGCCGACACCACCGAGGACCAGTCGGGTGCGTGGGGGCACCCCCCGAGCTCGGGGCACCCCGGAACCCAGGGGAACCTGATCCTGGGGGAGGCTTATCCTGGGGGACCCCGATCCTGGGGAGTCTGATCCTGGGGGAGTCTGATCC